CTTTTATAAAACTCATGTTATTTAGTCATGGGATTAACAGAAGCATTTTTCAAAGAACAAAAATACAGACTATTCTTTAAGTCCTTGAAAATAAAAAGGCAAGAATAGAGCAGACGGAAGTTTAATAATAATAAAAACTTCTTAATATTTAAAACTAAAGACTAAGTATAAACTTAGTCATCGAATTGTTTATACAAAATGTCCCATAACAAGACTTGGGGACTTGTACTTCTAAAATCAACCCTCAAGTGGTAGCCAAGGGTTTGATTACAAAAACTCTCAAATGAATCCAAGAACTTTAAACACAGTTTTCCAAACAGGTACCTGCAAAAAGGGAATTTAAAACAGATGTGAATTTTTTCACTAAGAGGAAAGGACTGAAGAAGGATCATCAGCGGGCTCAACTGGAACAGCATCGCCAACAGAAGCGGGTTGATTTTCAACCGCAGCAATTGGAGTATCAATAGACGAAGTTTCAACTTGACTTGCAACAAGAGGCACGGTTGAGCTTGAAAAGGGTGCTTCACCCGAGGCAATTTTAGTGTTCATGGGTACTTCAACTGCAGAAGTTTCAGCCAAGGGAGCCTCACTCACCGGAACTTCACCCACGGGAACAACAACTCCGGGAACTTCAGCTTCGAAAACTTCAATCGTGGGTGAAGGGAAGTCCAGTGGTTGTTGAGCTTTTTCAATAGTCTCCATCACCTTAGCTAACTCTGACTCCAGATTAAAGTTTTCTTAGCTAGCTTCAACTAAGGCATCACGACGAGAGTTCAGAAAATCCCAGCTTACATCAACTGCAGCCTTATCTTCAAGAAGCTCATAATCTCTTTCCCAAGTAACAATTTCATTCTTGAGTTCTTCATTTTCAGCCAAAGCTAAGTTGTAAGAGGCTTGGAGAGAGGCATGAGATTTTTCTAAGGCATGCACCTTGCCCTCAGAAGTTCGCAGATATTCCTGTGTCTGAGTCAAATTCTGTATTAAATCTCTAGCATAAACTTCTTTTTGACTTAAAAGAGCTTTCAACTCTCTAATCTCCTCACTTGCCTTAGATAATTGCTCTGAGAAAGAAGACTCGAGACACTCTCTTTCTTTCTCTGCCTGACTTGAAGAAGCCTTGACAACCGCAAGCTCTGAAGTTAATGCTCTTATCTGCTGTTCCAGGTTGTTCTTGTTCTCTTGCAAATCTTCTATAGTAATTTGAGCACTATCAAATTGTTCCTTCCAATTAGCTGCTTCCAACTGAAAGTCACGAGCTTCCCTCTCTGAATCAAGAAAAGCCTTTTCAGAGTCACGTGCCACCTTCTCTAATAAAGAAACTCTACTCATCAGCTCTATACCAATAAGGTTGGCCTGAAAATGATAAGGGAAGAAAAATTAGAATTCTAGAAAAATTCTAGCAAATTAAAGAAAGAAAGGACATACCTTCTAGGTGGAATGAACTATGTCGTTCATCAGAGTCAGACAGCTATGGCTATTCAGTTTTTCTTTCTCAATTGGGCCTATTAAAGGTTCAAGCCAAACATCCGCCTGACCGGATTTCCTCAAAAGGCTGTTGTTAGCAGGAACTTCGATAGTCACGCTCCTCATAGCAATCCTTCTACTTGTAGAACCCACTTTTGTATTATGGACAGTAGAAGGAGGAGCGGTAGAAGAAGTAAAAACAGCAGAGGGAGATTCGGAAGCAGGTGGAACAGGTACGGAAGCAGATGGAGCAGGTAAGGAAGGAACCAAAGGCACAACAGAAGAAGGAAGAGAAGGAACTGAAGATATGAGAGTTGAAGAGGAAGATAAGGGAGGTTCATCCAAAACAGGTCCTAACTCACAACTCTTAAAACCACTAACGAAAAGCTGGTTAATCGACTCATGAGTGTCATGAGGGGTGGCAACGTCATCATCAGAGACAAGATTAACAGGCCCGGTAGGAGAAAGATGATGAGAAACTTCAGCTTCGTCAGAGACGATACGTCTTCTAACTCTTGGCCTTGTCACCAAGGAACCATCCTCTTCTTCTTCGTCGGAGCTATCATCGTCTGTGGTTTTTCTTTTCAGAAGAATATCCTGAGCACTTTCTAAGGAAAGTTGGGTTCCTAAACGAGAGAGCGAAACTGCTTCAGCAGTAACACCTCGATTAGCAAAACCTGACAAAGAGAAGGTTGAAAGTTAAAGCAATAAAGGGAAAAAATTTTACATATGAGAAAGACAAAAACTCATACCGTGAGTCTTCACTCTCTAACCGTAAATACTGGAAATGTATTTCCAAGACCTAGCCTCCATAGCTTCAACAATTTATCTACCCAACCACGAAAATTGGGAATGTTCTCCACAACTCCCATGGTTGCTAAAAAAAAAGAGGGAAACAAAGTTAAAGAAATTGATAAACTCGAAAGAAAGAGGTACGAGAAAGGGTAAGGAACTTACGTGCAAGATTCCACTTCTCAGGGAAGGGAACATTTTCTTTACCCACCAAACCAACTGTGGGGGCAGCAACAAATCGGACATACCAGCCACGATCCTTGTCATCTTCCAGACTCACCAAAACCCTTTTACTCCTATCCACTAAGGTGAAAACCCCATTACGAAATAACCTAGGGGAGAAGACGTGAATTAGGTGAGGGAAGGTAAAGTTAACATCTGCTAAGTTAGCCAGATGTCTTAAACAAGCCACAGCCCTCCATACCAACGGGCCAATCTGTGCTAGACATACTTTGAAGAAACGACAGAAATCGAGAATTACTGGGTTGATAGCTGGTTTAAACCCAAGAGTAAAAGGGTATGTGTAAACGAAAGAGAGTCCAGTCATATATGAAGTAATCCTTTGATTTGGATTAGGGATACAATGGGAAAATCGTCATTCCAGTGGCAATATTTGCGAACTATGGGAGTTAAAAGCTCTGTAATCAAAGTGGGGAAAGCATCAGCACGATCTAGACCTGCAACTTGGTTTTGAAGTGATTGTCTATCATGGTGAAAAGAAAAATCGTTAGGAATTATCTCCTCCACCAAAGGCTCTTGTAATGGTTCAGAGGTTTCCTTGCCCTTAGAAGATGATTTTTGGGTAAAAGAACCCCTGGTTCTAGAAGAAGAGCCAGGATTAGAAGAAGAGCCAGGATTAGAAGAAGGCATGGCAGAACCACCACCACGAGAAGATCCTAAACTACGAAGTCTTCCACCCCTTCTATGTCTGACAGGGGCATTGGGATAATTTTCTAAAGCAGGAACTCTTCTAGGGTTAGGGTTTGAAGAAGACATGATGAGGAAGAAGACGAAGTGAATAAAAATTTGCACAGTTTGAGTGTTCGAAAGAGTTTTGTGTGGAAAAAATTAAAAGGTAAAACTGTATTTATAGGTAACCGTCAAAAAGTGATAACGCAGTAATGGAAGGGTCACAATAATGGTAACTGGTACTTCGTGAATAGTGGAGCTTTAAAAAAGGACCTTAAAAAGGGGTGCAAGTTGCAGAATCAATAAGGAGTTGACACGTGTGAAGAACATTAAATAGATGTGACCATTGAAGCGTCAATCTTGTCACAACATTAATGATGACAAAAATTCTCCTTTTACGAAATCCACTTCCCAAATATTCAACTGATGAATAAATGAAAAGTGGGGGGACTATCTGTATTGGGAAAAATTTACTCTGCATATTGGAGATGACGTATCATGACACGTAGACTGGTCAAATAGTCAGAGAATTAAGGTTGTTCAATAGGTACGAGCAACAACAGACACGAGCAAGTTAAACAGAAGAGACACGAGCAGTCATGTGAGACATTTAATGCTCATACCCGTTCAAAGCATTTAGACCGCAAAGATCGTGAAGAGTCAAAGGAATGAATCTGACAGCAAATAAGAGCCCATATACAGCATTTAATGCGAGAAACGTTAGAAAATATGTATTTAATGTATATGATTACATAACGTAACATTTAAAGTCATTAACTGCCCATAATTGTCTTATTATGACAAAGGTAAAGTCTGTATTCCCAAAATGGCTATAAAAGGGAAAGTCACAAACAATTGTAAGCACGGAAAAAATACTATTGAAATATATCCTGATTTACTAGCTTTCATATCTTATTCTCAAATTTCTTTCTTTATACTCTTTTCCGATTATCAGTAACCCGTGTTCTTCTAAATTCAAGCTTTGACCTAAAATCTAATTTTTGGTTAAACACTATGCCTCAGATAAAATGAAATTAAATCTTCAAACAAGATGAAGTCATTAGCTTAGACGGTGTAATGATCTTTGCTTCAAATAAAATAAAATCCTTGGCTTAGACGATGTAATGGCATTCGCCTCTGGTACATAGTTAGATTCCAGGGGACCATCTTTGGCATCAAACTAAATTGAGCTTTAGTAATTCCAAACGGGTATTTAGGACATTTCGAATACTGTTTCTCATAAAAAATTTGTAGATTAGAGTTGAAGATTCGATGAATCATAAATTTGTACTTTTACAGTTGAGGAAAGGAGTGTATGATGCTAGTGTTTGGCAGTGCGCCATTGGTTGTGGCAGTTATTGATGGTATGAGAAAGTAAATAGTTTGTTTTAATATTTTGATGGACCTTTAGTGCTTTATTGATTCTATATCCCACTTGAACACATCTCAGTGTTGATTAAAATAGGTGCTTGATCAAAGCTTTTCATAAGCTCTGACATTTATCTACTTCAATTTGAATTTTTACTTATTAAAAAAATTGATTTTTAGGTCACAGTTGAAGAGGGGCGGAGCAGATTGCATAGGGCATTTACTCATATTTTTTTTGTTGGATGCTGCAGTTCAGTTGGTTCTAAAGTCTAATAAGGGTAGTAGAGTGTAACTTTCATTTTATTGTTCTGTTTCATTTTAGTGATATTTTTCTTGATAATTTTTCAAAATTTTGGACCTACTTGTATCAAATTTTGTATGTACCATCTACAACAATACTGTATGATAGACCCCATGGTCATGTTTATATAATCCCCTCCCACATCTGCTTTTATCCATTGTCAACAAAAGTCACCAAAATACCAAATACCAAAATAAGAAAAAAGAATAAGAACGAAAATGCCATACATCAGGGGTAATGAATGGAACCAGAAAAAAGAATTTTCCTTTGTCCACTGATAATGAGAGACTTCTTATCTTAATTCCAATTTTATCCCCATATATGCATGTATACCGAATAGCAAGTATGATTGATGTAACTGAGGGCAAAAGAATGTTTTTTGCTACAGATCTCTTGCACTTCCTATCATTCGAGAAAGAAAAACTTGAGCGTTTCGGTATTCATTCTCCATAGTTCAAGAGATTTGAGAGAGGAAGTAGCAAAATTCAGCACAAATCACAGGTACAAACACAATTCACAGGCCAACAAATGCCAAAATCAAAGAGAATGGATTAAAAGCTAGCAAAATAACTATGAATCAAACTCAAATATGTACTTCAGGAAGAAATTTTTACCTGATTTCGAATTGGTCGTTTTGTTTCTATTTTTCTCTCATGCTCATTTGGTTTTCTTCTCCAGCGATAGAGAAGATCATTTTCTGCTTCCTCCGCCTATAGATTAGATCTTTCACTTATCAAGTAGCTGGTATCCATCTCTCTCTCCCTCTGTGCTTTTGCCTTTTGCAATTGAATTTGTCGTTGTTTTTATATCTTAAACCTGAATTTTCACTGATTTCATATCAATTTAAATTCTGTTTCTTTTATGCACAATTGGTGGGTTTGGTTAAGTTGTGTTGATTTTCTCAATTTTGTTAATGGGTTGTACTTAATGGGTTTATTAAAAATGTTAATGGGTTTAACATTGAGATTTTAAAATTTATATTAAGCAGACTTACTGGGAGAAAAAAGTATTAAATGAAGGGAAAATTCACAGAATAGTGCAAATATTAGCATGTGCATCCAGATTTGGTTCCTTAAATACCTGATGTTGATACGGAACGGTGCTTTTCTGATGTTATGCTAAACAAAAAAATTTATTCATGTAAGTTGTGATATCTTATAGTGTGCTCTCAAGATGTATATGAGCACATTTTAATTCACCATTAGTTGTATTTATTCTGACTATTTGACAACAAATACATGCCTCATATGTATCCTCATTTACATTATATGCATTTAGACATGTTATAATTAGTAAGATGCTTGTAGATGATAATTTTATTTTTAATGATAGATTCGAATTGAGAAAGAAAAAGCGGGAAAAGGGGAAAATTATAGAACAAATATCAAACAATTCTCACGGAACGAGTTTTATAAGTTTTGTATTTTGGCAAAACAGGTTAATAGGCTAGAAATAGTTGCAATATATTCATGGATTTGTCAAGCATTTATTTCCTAATTGATCCTATTTTATTTTATCAACAACAACAATAAATCGCGTATAATCCTACGAGCGAGGTCTCGGGAGGGTAGTGTGTATGCAGATCTTACACCTACCTTGAGAAGATAGAGATGTTGTTTCTAGTACACCCTCCTCATTTATTTTATCAAAAGAAGTGGAAAAAACTAATCGATGCAAAGTCTTTTACTAGGTTCAATCAAAGAGAATTTGAGTGATTTATCTTAGAGGAATTAAATTTATTCCTCTAACTAAAATTATTGATTGTTTGGATACATGGATCTGAGAGGTTCTATTTAAATATAGGTTTCTTTTCAGCCTTTACTTCCATGTTTACCTTCTAATTATTATTTTCTGCTTGATTATTTCACTTTCTATTTGATAACATCTCATTTGCCTAAAAAATTCTTCTGTTTGTCGCTATGCATTTGAATGGGCATTTATGCATCTTCTTTCACAGAAAGAGTGCAAGTAGGATACTGCTTTACCTTTCAGGTGACATCTTGAGATGTTAAATTCTCAACTAAAGACTGCAGTGGAAAGGAAGAAGGTCAATCAGACATGCATTTTGGTTAGCTAGAGGATTATTCCATGTACGTAAACATATATGTTCTTGAGTGTTTGAATCTTAAATTAAGATATATAAAAAATTTAGAAATTGGTGCATATGGTTCTCATACAGGAATTGATTTGCAATTTGTCCTCAAGAAAAAAGTCTACAGGATTTATTTAACAATCTAATGTTTGGCTTGTAGATGCTGAGAAGCAAATAATTCTTCTTACTTATTTTTGTAGTAGTCAAACTTCATAAAGTATATTGGTCAAGTGCAGAATCAAAATTTGTAGTGCACTATTCTCTAAGTCTAAGCCATTATTTTAGTAAAATGTTGCACAAATTTTCTCCTATAATTCGATAGATTATGATGTGCCGTTGAAATTTAGTTGTAAATATATTTCTTAGTTTCATGCAGTTCTATTTGAGCCACATATAAATTTAAGTTCTAACCATAGTATTTATGGTAAGGCCAATAAGTCCCCTAAGTAGAATAGTAATGATCCATGTCTGTTGGAAAACTATGGCAAAGTTTTAAAATAACTAAGCCCTATAAATAGTGATGCTCTATGCCATTCAGCTCGAAGATGAATGTTTTGATTTAACGTAATATGCAAGATCATTAGGAAGTGATTGCATTAGACAATTGATGGCAAAAAATCACATCATTGAGTTAGAAGGTATGTGTAAGAAATTTCTCTTGTCTTTATTTCTTCTTATGATGGATATCTCATGTTGTTTTCTACTTTCCTGTTTCTTTGAAGTTATCAAGATTTGTAAATATTCTGATAGTCATACTCAGTACGGTTAAAATTTCACTCTTATTTTTCATCATCTGCAAGTAATATTATGTAGGTTTACTTTTCTTTGCTTGAATTTCAGTTTCACTTTTTTTTTAGTTTTTTTTTTGTTGGCGTAAAGAAGCTTTCTATATTTGATTTATGCATTTATGTGTTTTTATCGGTGAAGATTTCTATACGACTGGTAATTTTGAATTTTAAGAATATATAAATGTGATGACCCAAAAGGTCATCTTTTGTTTTAGAACCCCTTTTCGTGTTCTGAGGCTTTGAAAACGTCCTTTTAGCTCTCCTCGATTTGCGTGCGCAGTCCGGGCGCGATACCGGAAAGCTTTTGTATGAAAAATTTAAAAAATAATGATTTTTGGCTTAAAATATGAGTTTAGTTGACTTCAGTCAACATTTTGGGTCAACGGACCCGGACCCGGACCCGTGTTCCCACGGTCCCGGGAGGCCCGTAGTAAAATATGGGACTTGGGCGTATGCTCGCAATCGAATTCGGAGGTCCCTAACCCGAGAAATGAATATTTGAAAAAAATTGTTTGCTGAAAAATATAAGAATATATGATTATTACATCAGTTGTGTTTTTTCCTTTTTATGATGAAACATTTTAGGATGAGCATAACTCCATAATAATTTAATGTTAAGGAAAGATGGACTATGGGCAGTAATAGGTAATTTACTCCAGTATAATGTATTTACAAATATCTCCCCTTTATTGACGATCAGCGCACTATCTGTCCTCTTTTCCCTGCTCCTTTTGTTCCTCTTTTAAAAGTTTTTCTTAGAGTAGAAGTGTAAGTTACCTATCTAATATCGAATCCAATTCTGGCAGTAAGTATTTAAATCATTCGACAACTAAATCAATAAAGATTAGTTCAAGCGCTCATTACAACTACATCAAATAATATATCCTCAACAGTCGTCCACAACTTGTAATATAAATAATAGAGGAGGAGGTTTCTGTCAAAGGTTGAATTAAATTAAACAGAGACTGAAAAATAGAAAATCTAATATAATGCCAAGAAGACTATAATATATAAATAGCTATGTTGTATATGATGTAAATACTACAGAAGTTGTCCGGACCATTTACTGTCATGGATATAAAAAATGTATATTTTGATCCAAATATATGTACATAATAGCCAGCAGTTAAGCACGTAGAGTTGCCTACCTGATGTGCAACTTTTATTATATGCAATTCCAAATCAAAACACATATGATGTTGTATAGCTGATTCAATCCTAATAGTTTCAACTTTCACAATATTGGGACTGTGTTGGCACAGGCCATCCCTAACTAGTTTTCTATATATAAGAAGAGCTTGAGTTTCGACATGTGTGTTTTGTGTCTTTTCTATGAAGGTCGACGTTAATTTAGTCATTTCAGAACATCTCTCACTGATATTATATACGTGGCTTTCATTTATTTATACAGAGCTCCGTGTGTAACTATTAGACAACACCAGAGTCCAGGTGTATTTTGACTAGATAATAACAAAGGTCTCTGTTCGTCTTCGTGCACTCAAGCTGCAGATATGTTTCACTTCCTATCAATGTTGCCCATATCTTTACATCTTTTTCCTTCGTTTTTTTCCTAGGTTTGTTTTAGGTTCTCTGCACTCTTCTTAGATGTCCTTCTCTTTTCTCTTTTTTTTTTTTTTCCCTTTTGTATTCTTTTGGTAATTGTGAAGCTCAACGGTTTGTGCAGGTTCTCTTTTTCTTTTGTATTCTTTTGGGTAATTGTGAAGCTCAATGATTTTTGCAGGTTCTCATCTCATGTTTTTCTCTGATTTTATTTTTGCGACTGCTTTCTGGATGCTCCTCTATTCGGAATATGTCGTAGCGATACGAGGTTAGTGTACTTGATTACGAATCCAAGTTTTTTCAAAATCTTTGATACCAACCGACATAAAGCTATTGCAATTTTTTTTATATTAGCTTGAGAGAAAAAAGGAAAAAAAAAACATTTGCGCTCGAAAATGATTGTTTTGAAATGTAATCTTTTTCTGAAACACCAAAACACAATTCAAACACTCATGCACATTATCTCGTGTGTTCATCGTTAGACTCATAAAAATTGTATTGCATTTGGAGCAACAAAACATCAATAAAACACACATAGTTAAAAGACTTAAATTATACATACAACTCTATTCTTCTCTGCAAAAATAAGCAAAATTGAAGATAGGTGGGGATGAAGAGGAGTACTAGAAGTAGAACTAAAAGAATGGACATTGCCAATGTTAAGAGAAGAAATTGCAAAAAGATCAGGCCTTGAAACGATCAACCTTATATGTGCTGGTAAATTCTTGAAAGGGTGGCTGGTTCATGGCAGTCCTATTTTACTCCTTACATTCTAAAGTTCTTTGTTTTCCCAATAAATGAGAAACCTCCTAGGTAGTGGTGCACGCTTCAAAAAATGATGGGTATTGAGCTCGTCCCTTTATCCTTCTCTACTTAAATACTAGGGTGTGATAGTTTTCAAACCTAGTCCACTCATGACAAGCTGACACTTACCACTAGACCTAAGCTCTCGTGCTAAAGTTCTTTTTTCAGCCTCTTGTTCTGTCGTTGTTAGTAATATCATTCCCAGTTCTGTACTTCTTATTTTTTGTGTGTTTTGCTTCAGTTGCTTGCAATTTTACAACCAATCAATTGCTTAACAGAGGTTCCACTAATTAAAAGTGGCAAAATAATGGATCTTTAACTATGAACAACCACTTGAGCAGTAAGTACTCAGCGACTGCTCTATGATGCCAAAAACCATACATAAATCAGAAGAAAGCAAATACTTTGGGGTGGTTTTAATAGCCGGAGAGAATGCTGCAGTGAGCTTTAAACAATCATGAGTTAACTAAGAGAAATAAAAAGCTTTCTTTCATCAATAGAAGATTGCAACTCTGAATCATATTGCAAATTATATGTATAATAAACTCATGTGTGGTGCAGCTAGAAGTACAACTAAGGTAAAAATGAATTGGTTGTACAACTAAGGGGGTGGGAAAATTAGTATATTTAAGCTAGAACATCACGTCAACTCATAATAGTTCCATATTTCGAAATGCAACAGAAAGACTTATTTCTTGCTGAATTTAATTCAGTATGAAGTTCAGTGGTCATATGAACATGTTAACATAACAAGTGAGCAAATGCTAGCTAGAAGAGTTTAGTAGGTAAACTTTTGTTTTACCCAAACCTTGGGTGTCAATTTTTTAGTATAAATTTGGGCAAAGCTGCCATAGAGCCATGTATGATTTTGAACTGGATATGGGTAATTGTCAAAACTTTCAATAGCTAGTAAATAGGTCATGCACTGAAGTAAGACACAATATTTCCACTAGCTATCTTAGACAAAATCTCTATCAGACTAGTCTCACAGCGGTATTAGTAAGGCAAGACTCAACTACCTCCTAACCTACAACCTTAATGGTTGACCTCCACAACTTCCTACCAAGTGTCATGTCCTCGGAAATCTGAAGCCTCGCCATGTCATGTCTGATCACCTCTCCCCAATACTTCTTAGGCTGCCCTTTACCTTTTCTCGTTCCTTCCACAACTAGCCGCTCATACCTCCTTACCAGAGTGTGACGACCCAAAGGGTCATCACCTGTTTTCTCACTCATTCTGTGTCTCCGAGGCCTTGAAAACCTCATTTAGGCTTGCCTCAATTTGCGTGCGCAGTCCGGGCGCGTAGCCGGAAAGCTTAAATATGAATTCTATGTAGAAATTGATGAATTTTGATATTAATATGAATAAAGTTGACTTTGGTCAATATTTTGGGTAAACGGACCCGGACCCGTGATTGGACGGTCCCGGAGGGTCCGCAGGAAAATATGGGACTCGGGCGTATGCCCGGAATCGATATCCGAGGACCCGAGCCCGAGAAATAAATTTTTAAAGGAAATTGTTTTTCTGAAATTTATATGGAAATTTGAAATGAAAATGGTTTAGAAAGTGTTGGTATCGCGCCCGTATTTTGGTTTCGGCGCCTGGTACAGGTCTTATATGTTGTTTAAGCGCTTCCTGTGAAATTTGGTTGGAATCGGACATCATTTGACGTGTTTCGGACCTAAATATCTAAAAATGAAAGTTTATGAAGTTTGATGAAAAAGTGATAATTTTGAGGTTTGATTCCTCGTTTTTGATGTTATTTTGGCGATTTGATCGCACGGTTAAGTTCGTAGGATGTGGTTGAGTTAGTGTGTGTGTTTGGTTAGGAGCCCCGAGGGCTCTGGAGTGTTTCGGAGGTGGTTCGGGGTGTTTTGAACTTAGTAAAAGTTGCAGAAAAATCTGATATTTTGCCCAGGGATTTCCTTCTTCACGATCGCACTCTTACCATCGCGTTCGCATAGCTTCGTGTCCTTCTTTCTTCGCGTTCGCGTTCGAGCCCTCGCGAACGCGTAAGGTTATTTGACCATGAGGGCCCAGCTTCACTCTCTTCTTCGCGTTCGCGTGCATACCACCGCGATCGCGAAGCCCTGCTGTTTCCTTCCCCGCGTTCGCGTTATGGTCCACGCGTTCGCGTAAACCAATCCCAGGACCCCAGCCTTTTTCCTTCTACGCGTTCGCGTCTTACCGTCCGCGTTCGCGATGCCCTTGTTGATAACCCTTCGCGAACGCGATCCACTTCCCGCGAACGCGAAGGGCAATTTTGCCCAGTAATTTTAAATACCCAAAACAGAACAGTGACGGGATTTTTCACCCAAAAACACACGAACTCATCTTCTCCACAGTCCATAGGCAATTTCTAGAGCTCTTCTTCACCAAAGCTTCTTGGGTAAGTATTATTTAACTTGTTTCCTTCATTTTCCTTCATCATTTATCAAATTCTTAGGCTCAAATCATGTAATCTAGGGTTGAAACTGGGGAAAAATGGGTAGAGTTAGGGCTTTTCAATCTTCTTTGATTTAGACCTCGTTTCGGGGTCGAATTTGAAAATAAATTGTATATTCGGGCTCGTGGGAGAATGGGTGATACGAATTTGGTCCGAACCTCGGGTTTTGACCAAGCGGGCCCGGGGTCGATTTTGGAATTTTTGGAAGAAAGGTTGGGAATCTATATTTAGGCATTGGGTTTGATTTGTTTAGCTATTATTGATATTATAAAATCGTTTCATAGATTTGATTGAGTTGGAGCCGAATTCGAGAGGGAAAGCGGTCGTTGTGGATTGATTTAGCCGTAGAAGTTGAGGTAAGTGTTTGGTCTAACTTTGGCTTGAGGGAATAGGAGTAGAGTCTTATTTGCTAATTGCTATTTGTCGAGTACGGTGTATAGGCATGGTGACGAGTATCTATACACTGGTGTTGAGCATGACCGTGAGTCCTGAATTGCTAAATTATCGAATTCTTAATTGTTGTTTATGAGGACTTGGTTAGAAATCTTTAACACTGAGCCAGTAATTGATGAGACTGAGTATTGATTTAATTGTGTTAAGTAGAAATTGAAAAAGTTTGGTTATAGCTGGATCTCCCTTGCCGGGATGGTTATTATATTATCGTGTTCCCTTGCCGGGATAGTTTATTATATTATCTTGTTCCCTTGCCGGGATAGTTTATTATGACATCTTTTCCCTTGCCGGGACTATATTGTGTATTGTGTTGAAAAAAATGGGAGCGAGTGGTACGCCTACCACGTGATATTATGAAATGGGATCGAGTGGTACGCCTACCACGTGATATTATGAAATGGGATCGAGTGGTACGCCTATCACGCGATGTTATGAAATGGGATCGAGTGGTACGCCTACCACGTGATATTATGAGAGATGGGATCGAGTTGCACGCGTGCAACGAGAGGAAATTGGAGCAAGTGAAAGTGGTTTGTTTTCCCTTATTCTGTGTTAGAAGAAATCAGTTGTAGTCCCTATTGTTATTCCTGATATTCCGTTTTATCTGCTACCCCATAAGCATGTTTCCCCCTTCCAGCTTTAATTGTTTATTTCCCGCTATTATTTCGTTGTATTTGTATATATATATATTTGCACAGGTTTTGGCTGGAGTCTGTTCCTAGCCTCGTCACTACTTCGCCGGGGTTAGGCCAGGCACTTACCAGCACATGGGGTCGATTGTGCTGATGCTACACTCTATGCATCTTTTTGCACAGATCACAGTGCTGGAGCAGCAACTTTTAGACAGCAGTAGTTGATTGGGAGCTGACTTCAGTCCAGGGACATTCGAGGTAGCCATGCTGACGTCTGCAGGCCCGGAGTCCCTTTCTACTTTATTCAGTTTGTTATCATTTGTACCGAAGCAGACAGTTTCATGTTTCATTCAAACCTTGTATTTAGTATTCTCTAGACGTTCGTGAGTATTGTGACACCAGTCTTGGGTAGAGGATTATGTTATACTTCCGCATTTCTTTCAATTAATTATATTTGAGACTTCCGCGTTATTATTAAATGCTTCATTGTTTCTAATATTATCGACGTTCGCTATAAGAGGTAATTGATAATTAGCTTGCCTAGCTCTTATTAGTAGGCGCCATCACGACTCCCGAGGGTGGGAAATCCGGGTCGTGACAGGTTTTTACTCAAATTAATTCTATAACTTTAATTTTCTCAATCAACTTCTCACCTTTTTAATATTTCTCATTTACTTTTAGCTCTCCCTTATGTGGAATATGAGAAAATTATCAACTTTTTCAAAACGTAGGAATGAGGTAAAAGATGAGAATAAATACACTGAGAGTCAAGAGGGAAATGTTTGTGTATAGGGTCAAATTTGACCCTCAGTATCTCTACGCCAGTGGGTACGCCCAATGAGTGTCAACAACCAACGTAGCGGGTACGACTCGGCCGTGAGGACCAAAGCGACGTCGTTTAGAACTCAGTGTCTATACTAGGGAGACGTTACCTATCTCTGTAACTTTTTGATTCTTTCGAGGAAGGTCTCCTATTATATAAAGGAGCTTCCACATCTGCGGCTACGGAAGCACCCTCAGCAGTCAAAGAGCTACTGGAAAGATGGCTAACAAGCACTCTAAGTGGCTTGGTTGAGAGGTCACCGCAAAATAGCATGGTATGTACACCAACGGTAGGTACCACTGCTGCCGTGGGCGAACCGGAAGCTACACTAGTAAATAACAGACCCATCGAGACACAGACCAATGATGGCACGCTAACAGCCATCCTAAAGAAGATGGAAGAAATGGAAAATGAAAACAAGGCGCTCCGTGGTCAGATGGAGGAACATCAAGAGAGGGTCGACAAGATCCCCCGTGCTCCCAAGTTGCTACCAAAACGCGACGTGGGAAGGTTCGTTGAACAACCATACACCGAAGAAGCTGCTCCTCACTCCACCCCAAAAACCTTCAAGATGCCACCCTACTTAAGGGTATATGACGGAACCACAGATCCCGAGGATCATCTGATCCACTACGTCACCGCCGTGAAGGGCAACGACCTATCGAAAGAATAGGTACCGTCGGTACTGCTGAAGAAGTTTGGCGAGACGTTGACAGGAGGGGCCTTAACATGGTACTCTCAGCTACCGGCTAAGGCAATATCAACGTTCGAGGAAATGGCGGATAAATTCGTCACAGCCCATGCAGGCGCGAAGAAAGCGGAGGCTAGGGTCAACGACATCTTCGCCATCAGGCAAAACGCAGGAGAAGGACTCAGGGACTTCCTGGCAAGGTTTAACAGGGTAAGGATGAGTCTACCAAACGTATCGGAAGGTATGGCAGTCGCCGCATTCCAGAACGGGCTAAGCAGAGATGGTTCGAGGGCAACCAAGAAGCTGCTGAGCCGCCTCATGAAGTATCCCCCTACCACATGGGAGGAAATCCACAACGCCTATTGCGCCGAGGTACGAGCGGACGAGGATGATCTTAATGGGCCGACCCAACGGCTAACAGCGATACACTCAGAAACAAGGAGAGATCGACGGAACGAAGGTCGACGGGAACAACTCCCCCGCTCCAACAGAGATCGACACCAGCCATACACCAGATCCTCCCATCCGCCACCAAGGCATACAGACGCATTACAGCGACACGTCGCCCCACCGCGAAACGAAAGAGATACGCCCCCTTTATTAACTGCCCATAACTTTTGTGTATCTCCTTCAGAGATAGTGTACGCACTGGAGAAGCTAGGCATCAAGGTGCATTGGCCGCAGAAGATNGATTCCAGCGCAGAGGTCCCTTCTATTGCTTCTGTTCCTATCGTTCGGGAGTTCCCCGAGGTTTCCCTTCAGACCTGCCGGGTATGCCGCCCGACAGGGATATTGATTTTTGTATTGATCTGGCTCCGGGCACTCAGCCTATTTCTATCCTGCCGTATCGCATGGCCCCGCCAGAGTTGAAGGAGTTAAAGGATCAGTTGTAGGATTTGCTAGAGAAGGGTTTTATTAGACCTAGTGTTTCTCCTTGGGGTGCGCCGGTGTTATTTGTGAAGAAAAAGGATGGTTCGATGAGGATGTGCATTGATTACCGGCAATTGAACAAAGTGACGATTAAGAACAAGTATCCACTGCCGAGGATTGATGATTTGTTCGACCAGCTTCAGGGTGCAAAGGTGTTTTCAAAGATAGACTTGAGATCTGGCTACCATCAGGTGAGGATTAGGGCGTCTGATGTCCCTAAGCATTCCGCACTCGGTATGGGCATTATGAGTTCCTGGTCATGTCATTTGGGTTGACCAATGCCCCAGCAGCATTTATGGAGTTGATGAACCGCGTGTTCAGGCCTTATTTGGACTTGTTCGTGATAGTCTTTATTGATGATATTCTGACATACTCCCGCAGTCAGGAGAAGCACGAGCAGCACCTCAGAGTGGTTCTTCAGACTCTGAAGGATAGTTAGTTATATGCTAAGTTCTCGAAGTGTGAATTCTGGTTGAGTTCGGTTGCATTTCTGGGTCACGTTGTATCAGCAGAGGGTATTCAGGTGGACCCGAAGAAGATTGAGGCAGTCAAGAACTAGCCTCGACTAGCATCAACCACAGAGATTCGGAGTTTCTTGGGGTTAGCAGGCTACTATCGCCGGTTCGTGGAGGGGTTTTCATCTATTGCAGCCCCGATGACCAGATTGACCCAGAAGGGTGCCCAGTTTAGATGGTCAGATGAGTGTGAGGCGAGCTTTCAGAAGCTCAAGACAGCTCTGACTACGGCACCGGTATTGGTTTTGCCCACAGGTTCAGGGCCTTATACAGTCTATTGTGATGCTTCCCGTATTGGGCTTGGTGTAGTATTGATGTAGGATGGCAGAGTCGTTGCCTATGCTTCGAGGCAGTTGAAGATCCACGAGAAGAATTATCCGGTTCATAATCTAGAGTTGGCAGCCATTGTTCATGCTTTGAAGATTTGGAGGCATTATCTATATGGTGTGACGTGTGAGGTGTACACTGATCACAAGAGTCTTCAGTACTTGTTCAAGCAGAAGGAGTTGAATTTGAGGCAGAGGAGGTGGTTGGAGTTATTGAAAGATTATGATGTTACTATTTTGTACCACCCGGGGAGGGCCAATGTGGTGGCCGATGCATTGAGTAGGAAGTCCGCCAGCATGGATAGTCTTGCTTATATTCCGGCCAGCCAGAGGCCGCTTGCTTTGGATGTTCAGGCTTTGGCCAATCGATTTGTGAGGTTGGATATCTTTGAGCCTAGCCGAGTGTTAGCTTGCACGGTTGCTCGTTCTTCATTATTGGAGCGTATCCGTGATCGGCAGTTTGATGATCCCCATTTGTGTGTCCTGAGAGACACGGTGCAGCGTGGGGGTGCCAAGAAGGTGACCTTAGATGATGATGGTGTCTTGAGACTGTAGGGGCGAGTTTGTGTGCCCAATGTTGATAGGATTCGAGAGTTGATCTTAGCAGAGGCCCATAGTTCCCGGTATTCTATTCACCTGGGCGCCGCGAAGATGTATCAAGACTTGCGGCAGCATTATTGGTGGCGTAGGATGAAGAAGGATATTGTTGCATATGTGGCTCGATATTTGAACTGTCAGCAGGTTAAGTACGACCATCAGAGGCCTGGTGGACTGTTTCAGAGGATTGAGCTTCCCGAGTGGAAGTGGGAGAGGGTTACTATGGATTTTGTTACTGGACTCCCGTTGACCCGGAAGAAGTTTGATGTGATTTGGGTTATTGTTGATAGGCTGACCAAGTCAGCGCATTTTGTTCCTGTTGCAACCACTTATTCATCCGAGAGGTTAGCTAAGATCTACATCAGAGAGATTGTTCGCCTTCATGGGGTGCCGGTATCTACCATTTCGGACCGGGGTATGCAGTTTACCTCGCGCTTCTGGAGAGCAATTCAGCGAGAGTTGGGCACCCAGGTTGAGTTGAGCACAGCATTCCATCCTCAGACGGATGGACAGTCCGAGCGGACTATTCAGATATTGGAGTACATGCTCCGAGCTTGTGTTATTGACTTTGGAGGTTCATGGGATCAGTTCTTGCCTTTAGCGGAGTTTGCCTATAACAAAAGCTACCAGTCCAGCATTCAGATGGCTCCTTATGAGGCGTTGTATGGTAGGCGATGTCGGTCCCCAGTGGGATGGTTTGAGCCGGGAGAGGCTCGGTTATTGGGTACAGATTTAGTTCAGGAGGCCTTGGATAAGGTCAAGATCATTCAGGATAGGCTTCGTTCGGCTCAGTCGCGGCAAAAGAGTTATGCAGATCGTAAGGCTCGAGATGTAGCTTTCATGGTTGGTGAGCGGGTATTGCTCCGAGTGTCGCCTATGAAGGGCGTGATGAGATTTGGGAAGAAGGGCAAGCTTAGCCCTAGGTTCATTGGTCCATTTGAGATTCTCGATCGTGTGGGAGAGGTGGCTTATAGACTTGCCTTGCCGCCTAGCTTGTCAGCCGTGCATCCAGTGTTTCATGTGTCCATGCTTCGGAGGTATCACGGCGATCCAGCCCACGTGTTAGATTTCAGCACTGTCCAGTTGGACAAGGATTTGTCTTATGAGGAGGAGCCAGTGGCTATTCTAGACCGGCAGGTTCGACAGTTGAGATTGAAGAGTTTTCCTTCAGTACGAGTTCAGTGGAGAGGTCAGCCCCCTGAGGCATCGACCTGGGAGTCCGAGTCCGATATGCGGAGCCGTTATCCTCATCTATTTCCCGACTCAGGTACTTCTTTCTTTTGTCCGTTCGAGGACGAACGGTTGTTTTAGAGGTGGAGAATGTGACACCAAAGGGTCATA